TATGATGTAAAATGAGCTCCTAATCAAAGTTATACAAATATTTTAATATTAGTATATCAAAAATACTATATTCTTCATCATAGTTGCGAATGAATTTTTACTTGCCTCTTTGCCTTTGAGTGTGATCTTTCCATGGGATGTAGGTTAAGTCCTCTTTTCACCTAACGTCAGAAGATAATATGTATTACCATCTACTATTAAACACGATCCTCAATTCGATAACCCTAACATGCACCACTCCTTATTGTGAACATTAATGCCAAAATAGTTCAGATAATATTATTACTTCAAGTTACTGATTGTTCTCCAAAACAATCCCATAAATTCCATTATTTTTCCAAGTCTAATCATGAATGTCACTGTCATCTAATTGTCTCTAACGACCTAACACTTATTAAAATTAATTTTTCAAGCCTTGGAGATGATTAGTGGACATGTAAAGGTTTAAGTTATGTAAACTACCGAATTGAACAGAATCTGTTTTTTTTATTTTTAGTTGTTGCCATGTCCCATTTCATCTATCTTTTCACACCCTTAACTACATCCATTCATTCCCAATCTTTTACCACACTTATATAACATATATATGAATATAACTATGTCATGAATTCATCATAAGAACGGGATTTTCAACCTCAAGTTATGTCCTTTTTATAGCACATTGAATCAGGTAGCTTAGTGTGACTGTCTTTGGTTTGTTTTACTTATCATTTTACAAGTCAGTTTTTAACCTATTAAAACTTATTTCCATACCTATAAACCTTATATGAGAACATTGAAAGTGATACATTTACGTTCCCTTCAATGTATAAAATAAGATTCAAAGTTGTATTACTAAAATCCAGCAACTATTAATCTGTCCATATTGAGTTAACTCAAGTTCTTGCTACTAATTACCCTGTTTTGTCATAATTAAATCATCAAAACGCCTCAAAATGATCTCAATCAAGTCCAGTGGTTCAAGAGGTTAAAAACCCTTAAAAACACTAAAGAATAACCTCAAAATATTGAACTAACTCAGTTACCTAGACTTCCTATTCCAGCTTTCTGTTTTCTATTTTTCTTTGGCTCTTTTCCATTCTTTTTCACTTGGAATCAATTGGAGATGAGTTGAAGGAGTTGATATCTTATATAGGAGATAGATATCAAGTACTTAAGGAGCTTGAGTCGTGCATAATACTTAGGAATGAAGAAATTGGCTAGGTGTTTCCAAGCATAAGATGTTTTTGTATTAAAAATCAGATTTTACAACCATCACTGCAGTAGAAAATCAAGTGTATCTGACCTATCTTAGTGTGTATACAATCTAATTCCATATGATTCTAAAATAATTTGTAGAGTTAATTCCTTAACTATTCATTCGATTCCCTACCTGATTGGTGCCCGATTCTCTACCAACTTCAACAATTTTCACCTCAATATTTATAACGTCGCATAAACCTTATATTATTGTATTGTGACCATGTCACTACATGCCTCATGTCCCAAATATGTTAAAGACTTAGTTTGGGTTTATGGTGACCATGATTAACCGAATTAAAAGCAAGAAACTTTACCGATAATGATTCCAAAACTTTCAAGATCACAATCGTATAACACATCAATCTAACATCTAGATTAACCTAAATTTTCCATCATAACTCAATGTAAGATTCTCTACCTAGGTTGAGAGGTCGAAGACTAAAACCTCAAAATTTCGAATGCATCATTTTAAAAGAAAGCAATGAGGATAATTGATGTAAATGGCATTGTAATTAGCATGAAAGGCATGAATCATATTGGCCAAATGTGTAATATGAAGGTCGGGGTATTACATAAGTAGTATTTGATTTTCTATCATCCCTGTCACCTACAAGATGTACATCTACAAATATATTAAGTACTAAACCTTCATTAGAGGAATTAGAATTTAAACCTAAGTGAAGATCCATTCAAATGCATCAATAACCATTTCAAAACAATCCAATGTTAAAAGCCATATTAGCTATAAACCTAACTATAAAGATCCTTTTATAGCATTTTGATTTTTAACCGAAGGGATTCATTTAAATATATCCAGTGTTCATATTTGATTTATGCAGGGGCGGATTTAAAGGGGAGTTGTACTGGGCTACAACCCAGTGCAGCTCTGGTCCAGATACCATTTTTATGTGTAAATTTTGTGGGAAAAAAATTATAGCTCGGCCCAAAGTAAAAATTAGCCCACTTAAATGGATGAATTTTTAGTCCAATTTTTAAAATTAACCCACACACAATTTAACTCTAAAACGTCAAACCCATTTGCCATAATGCCATTCCCTTAAAAAGTTCAAACCTCAACCCAATAGGCAGTAACCCAATAGTTATACATCTGATCCGCCTCTTTTAGAATCTCAAATCTGAAATATCCATTCTCATGCTCCCGTTGGTTCTAGAAACGCCAAAGCCTGATGCTGAAGCCTTTGCAAGTAAAATTCTAGAAAGAAAACGGTACTGGTCATTAGCGGCAACCACGTTTGAGGTATTTTTGTTTCCTATTCATCACAATTCATCACTTTATCTTCATTGAAAGAAAATGATGATTTTGAAAATGTTGATTTGGAGCATTATGGAAATGAAAGGGAGTCTAATGAAGGGTGTTGATGCAGGTGACACATTGCCTATAGCTCACCCTGCTTGTAAATATAGTGGAACTGGAATTAATGACTTACAAGAAGGAGGTACTGTAAAATATTGATTAATGTTAGTCTGCTTGTTGCGTTATGTCACTAGGCAAACAAGCATACAAAAATCTGCATGATTAATTTCTTCAAATCCTATGTTTTAGACTCACCTTCACGTGTTCTATAAATAGAATTCTTATGTTAAAATTTTGAATTTTCTGGTTGCATTTATCTTTGTTCCTAGAAGAAAGTCATTATTTTGTACTCCAATGAGTCTATAAGATGAAGTATTTGTACATCACATTATCAGTGATATGGCAATACTAGATTGCTATATTTCCCTTTTTTCCTGCTTTCAGAAGCTATATTTTCTTATTTGTGTTTTTGAATAGGGGAAGACCAATTAGTAAAACTAGACCCTTGATATGAATTGTACAATATTTGTTGGCAATGCTGGAAGTTTGGAAGGAATGATCTGTGACAATTGACATGACTGTGGCCATGGTGGTGAGAACTTGGTTCTATCTTCTTAGGCAAAAGAGGCTGGAGCAAATGGCTATGATATGTCTCAAAGTTCTCCCAGGATTTAAGAAATCTGCTTGGGATCCTACTCAAACTGAAAGTAATGATTCCAATCGAGAAAATGAAAATGATAGATCATAGGAATCGTGCAGCACTTGGTGTTATGTGTCTTAGACGAAATTTAATTGAGATGTGAACTCCAGCTTTATATACAAGGCCTTGACATGATTGGGACTATGTTTGTTGTGTACTTTTCTAATGCAAAACTCGTCTGACTAAATTATGTATTCATGTGCTGCAAGTCAACGTGCTATTAATGTGACCTTAGACCATGGAGAACGAGTTGCAAAGAACTTGATTTTGGCTGGGAACACCGAACACGACAAAATAAAAGTGTAAAATCATATACAGGAATACTAATACTATGCGGGCCAAGATTATATTTTATTAGAAATCCAATATCTCGGGTGTAATTGTAATTGTGAGATTCATATCTAATGAGTTAGCCGGTTAGATTATTTCTGTTATCAATTTTGATCAGGTTTATAACAATAGTTTTGTTAGTATGATTTTATGGTTTTCATGTTTTATTTTTTTTAAATATAATTGAATATGACTTCATTTGTTTATTTCAGTGACTAGCTCTACAGTTACAAATGGAACATTGTCAGTCATCTCGTTCTTCTTCTTTAAAAAGCGGAAAACATTGTTCTCCTTCTTTAAAAAGGTTGGTGAATCTACCACAAGTACGCATTCTGAACCTATTATAGTTGAAGAGGATACTTCAGTTCATCATCCTCCAATTTTATCTCCTCAATTTGAGCCTAATTTGTCTCCACAACTTGGTTTACAACCACTTATTTTGATTGAAAGGGACCCTGGAAAAAAGGAAGCATATTAGTGAACATCCTATCAATTTACAAGATGAGATTAGACGGGCTTATCTACGAGCAGGGCCTTATCAACCAGTTTTGTTGAATTATCAGAAGTCAATATTTGGAAATCAAAATCATCGATTTAAAAAAAAATGGTCCAATCAGTTTCGGTGGTTGGAGTATTCACCTTCAACAAATAAAGCATATTGTTTTTACTGTTTTTTGTTTTCAAATGATGCTAATTTATCTAATAGTTCGGCATTGGTCATAGATGGATTTAACAATTGGAAGAGGGTTAACCAAGGAGACAAATGTGCATTTCTTACTCACATGGGTTCAACACCTTCATCGTTTCATAATATGTGTGTAAGAAGAGTTGAAGATTTAATGAGACCATCGGGACATATTGATAAAGTGATGAATGCTATAACAAGAGAGGAAGTTCTAAAAAATCGACTACGTCTGAAGACTACAAGTTCAAGTGTAAAGTGGCTAGCACTTCAAGGTTGTGCTTTCAGAGGTCATGACAAATCTTCATCATCGTTGTACCGTGGAAATTTTATTGAACTGGTGAAAGGTTTTGCAAAAATGAATATAGAAATTGGAGAAGTTGTATTGGATAAAGCTCCTCAAAATGCTACTTACACTAGTCCAAATGTTCAGAAAGAAATTTTGTACATTATGGCTAATAGAGTGCAACAGATGATTCGTGAGGAGCTTGGAGAAAATTATTTTTCTATTCTCATTGATGAAGCGCAAGACGAATCTAAAAGAGAACAAAATGGCCATTATCTTGTGATTTGTGAACAATGATGGTATTATAATAGAACGTTTCTTTGCGATCAAAAGCGTGAGTGACACTACATCATCGAATCTAAAAAATGAGATATGTGATGTTCTTGTTCGTCATGACCTTCAGGTTAAAAAAATTAGAAGCTAAGGCTATGATGGTGCTAGCAATATGTGTGGTACTTGGAACGGACTTCAAGCATTATTTCTTAATGAATGTCCATATGCTTACTATATCCATTGTTCTACCCACCGACTACAACTGACATTGGTTTCTGCAGCCAAGGATGTGATTTGTATTTGGAAATTCTTTTCTCATTTGGACAATATTGTTAATTTTATTACTTCTTCTCCTAAGCACATTAATGCATTACAAACTGCTCAAAGAAGAGAGCTTGAGGATATGTTGGCTAGTGGAGAACGACAATCTGGAAGCAGGATCAATCAAATTGGTAATTTGTGAAAATCAGGCTCTACTCGTTGGAGTTCACATTATGAATCAATAAAGAGTTTGATAGATATGTATGCTGCAACTTGCAAGGTACTTGAGTATCTTATAGTTCATTCTCTAAATGGAAGATCTCGTGCTGAGGCTCATGGTGTTTATGAAACTATTAAAAGCTTTGAATTTGTATTCTCATTGCATTTAAAGCATAAAATTTTGGGATTCAATGACATACTTTGTCAAGCTCTTCCAAAAAGATCTCAAGACATCCCTACGGCTATCAAATTTGTCTCCACCACAAAAGGTCTCCTTCAAGAATTTAGAGAAGATGGTTGGGAAGAATTTCTTAATGCGGTGAAAACTTTATGTTTAAGAAATGATGCTGATATACCCGACCTAAACTCGTTTTATAAGATTTATCGTCCTCGTGAAGAAGTTACGCTTGAGGGTCATTACCACTTTAATGTTTTTAATGAAGCCATAGATTTCCAAATGATGGAGTTAAATACAAGATTTAATGAACTATCAGTAGAACTCCTTTCTCTCACTGTTGCTTTGGATCCTCGAAATTCTTTTGAATCATTCAATGGGGACGATATTTTCAAGCTTGCAGAGAAGTTCTATCCTTGTGATTTTTCACAACAAGAGCTTCATTCTTTGAGGTTTGTGATCCTCGATTTCAAGTGTCTTCACTTTCTGAATTATGCAAGCTTCTAGTTGCAAGTAGAAGGTCAGAGAATTACATTGTTCTCACTAAATTGATTCGTCTTGTCCTAACACTACCTGTATCTATAGCAACTACTGAGCGAGCTTTTTCAGCAGTGAAACATGTAAAGACAGCAATTCATAATAGAATGGAGGATGAGTTTTTTGCCGATTGTATGATGCTCTACATTGAACGAGAATTTGCCGAGAAAATAGATGTAGATTCTATTATCGACAAGTTTTATGCAGTTAAAGCTTAACGGGCACAACTTCAGTGGGTAATATCGTAATGAAATTTTATGTTGTATACTTTATAAAAAAATTTGCATATATATTTTAAATTTTAGCCCCCCTCAACATAATTTTCTGGATCCGCCCTTGGATTTATGATTACCAATATCCAAAAAAATTGTGTTATATCAGTTAAAGTTAGTAATAATCTATATCTAATTAAATATGCAGTTTTTTTGTGAATGATCTTTTATTTACTCTTTACTACTTGTCCATGATAAGAAATCTCATCGAATGTCAAAGTTGAAAAAGAGAACTCAAATTTCTCTCGTCGAAGTCCTAATTAGTCCTAAAGTAAAAATTTTGGATGACTTTTAACTGAATTATGGGAATAATATCGGTACGTTTTCGAACAGTGCTGCACATGTAGGTCTGCATTACAAGGGGACAGTTGTCCTCCTATTATGGACAATCCGAACATTTTCTATGTACAAAGAATATATCTAAGAGATTATCTGTTTAGTATATTTTACAATTTAAAGAGTATCTATAAATTTATAAAGTAAAAATAAGTCCTCCAACATGCTCTTTATATTTAACACTCAATTTTACTACTGTCGGAATATATTTATTGTTTTTTCCCATCTTCTGTCTTCGCTAGCTTCTCTCTAAATTATTTTATTATTTTTAGTCTTTAAAATTAAATTATTTTGAATGTGTTTGATTATAGAGGGTGAGTTTATCTCTCTAAATTTGATAGTCAAACTAACTATTTATTCTAAAATGTTAAATTAAAAAGTTTTTTGGGGCATAATTTTAAGGGTTGAGTCTTAAAATAGAAAGCATCTTATATCCAGTGTTAAGGCAATCAAGAACATTTAGATAATTCACAAGTTAACACAACCGTTTTCGTCAATTCACATTTACATCTAGTAAAGTTTTTCGAAATGTTAAAAACAACAAGTTTAAGAACCAGTTTGCAAAATTCTTAGATAAACTCAGAAAGCTTCATATATCAAAGCTAAAAGATCCAATAAGTTTTACTTTATCTTACTCTGTAGGAAAATCTTATATTATTAATGTTTTAATTGACTTTATGGTAAGAATTTACCTAATACAATCTTCAGACTACGAGAAATTAGGTTTGGGAGAGCCAAAAGGAAACCACAATAATTTTACAGTTGGATGAAAAATCAATCAAACACCCTCTAGGGGTAGTTGAGGATGTGCCCGTCAAAGTGTTAAATTTCATCTTTCTAGTTGTTAGGTTTTGCTACCCAATAATTTGGGCGATGATTTAAAATAATTGTCAGATTATTTATCATACCATGGACTTGGTTCGACTCGAAAACAAACTACACTTTTGGATGGCTAGGGTTGAGGTTGGATGGTTCTTTGCTTAGTTGGACCATTTAGTGATTAATATGAAGTTGGATATTAGCCCATTAGTTTAGGCTAATTGGTAGCCCACTTAGTAAACCTTTAACCCAAGTGGAGTGATCTAAACTAACCTTATATATATATGCCATCTTCTTGCAGTCATTTTCTTGGATGGTTGACGTGTGTGTCTTGAGAGAGGGAAGAACCTAGAGATAAAGAGACGGCCGAAAGGTGAGGGGGGCAGCCGGCTTGGTGGTTACTGGAGTGAGTCCACCATTATTACTTCTTCTTCCCATTACCACTACCATCTATGGGGTCTGAGAGAGCTCGGGGCAATCCAAAGTGCAGTGGAAGTTTTGGGTTGAGCAGAGGTAAATCAGTGTTCGTTTAATTATTTTCTGATCCCGAATTTAAGATTTATCGAGGGATTTCCACAACAAATGGTATCAGAGCTTGTGTAGTCAAGAAATCTGTGAAAAATCTGGTGAAAAAGTGGCTGGAAGTGGTCCAAAATTGATCTAGAAATTAAAGCAGAAAGCTATCCAGATTTTTGCATTTTCTGATCGGACATGTTTTAGCGTTTTTCGACCAAGCCAAAAAGATTTTGGAAAAGCGGATACCACTGATGGACTATGTAGGTGGAGACAAAGTCGGAAGGATAGAGCATTGCCGGAGTCGCCAGCGCCGGCACTGGCACATGGGAACACTGGCGAGGAGCTTGTGGCTGCGTCGGAAGGATTTCGACGAGGGTGCCAAAAGACAGAATGTTTCTGGTGATGAGTCGGACCCTACGGTGTTGTCGGATTTAAGTTTTGAGCAATGCAGTGAAAGTTGGATGATTTTGCCCTTGAACGTTCGGGTGTCAAATACTGTTTTGTGTTGCTACGATTGCTAGTGACTTTAGGATGAATAGTGACAATCCTAAAGTGGTGAATTCAAGTCTCTCGATATTTACGAACCTTCAGACATGGTCCACTCGATATCGTATTCTTTGCCTTTTATTATTGTAGTTAAAATTAATGTGTAGGTTAATTATTTATTTTTTGCATTAAAAGTAATTGTGTAGGGTGACGTTAGATTTGGGTTACCGTGAAGGGATAATCATTGCCTGTTCCTAGACCTATGAATTATTTGCCTTAAATTCTTTGTGAATTTGTTGTCAATTTTTCTACACGCTTAGAATTGCGTGTGATCTTAGAAAAGTTTATTTGATCATTCTATGTGAATTATACTTTGCTTGTGGTCATCATTTGGTATTGATGGCATGCATAAGTCTAAGGCAAGTGGGAAAAAATGTGTTTTAACTGTGGTAAAATTAGACATAGTTGAAAATAGACTGCCATAAAAATGATAATAAAAGATAAGATAAGATGAGATTTGAGGCGAATGTGACTTTAGGGCAAAGTGGTGTCCCTAATGAGGTTTATGAGAAAGTAAGCCTGGTTACTGCATTGCATCTCTGTGTAAACCTTTCTGCATGTATGTAATTGCTTAATTCTGTTGCGTTGATATGTTACACTTTCAATATGTTTAATGTGTGTAGTTGCTTAAATTAGAATGATTTATTACTTTGTGTGATGTGTTTGCATGCATAGGGAGTTGAGATTTGTCGTGTACTCTGTTTGTTCTGTGAGTAATGCGAGGGTGTGGTAGTGAAAAGAAAGATGAGCAGCCATTTTCTCCTCCATCTTTGCGAGCCTATGTAGTTTGTGAGATTGTGTGAGGCAACTATGTTAGAGTTATCTTCTTTCTCTTTGTGAGCCTGCTTTGTGAGTGTAGTGAAATAACCAAATCCTTTATTCGATTCTCTTTATGAGTGTCACATTCACCCTTTCCTTTGTGGATTTTTGGAGCATTAGTGATTGGAGTAACCTTGGGGTGTGTGGGTCTATTTAAATTGAGCCCTAACCTTTGTGGTCACCGAAAGGTATTAATTTGCCATAGTGAGTTTATGATGCACTAGCAATGAGGACGTCTTTTGGTAAGGTGGAGTATAAATGCTTAGGGGTACTTTGTGGTTTGTACCGGGGATGTGGAGTGTGACATTTGGATCAGGAGTGGAAATGTAATTAAACGTCTAAAATCATTTATCTGTAAAGAGATCCTAATTAGATGGAATGTGAGAGACACTTCTATAATAACTTCTATAAAGTGGAGACCCATTATCCATGTAGGTTAGTAGAAGTGATATGGTGATAAAAGATTATCCTAAGAACTTAGGATCTATTGTGACTTGCCAGTTAGACATGAGTTGAGTGATCATCTAGTGAGCATTGTGAGCGATGAGAGAAAATATGTGTTCTTAAGGTGGAAGTAATACGAATGGGATAGGTTAAGTGTGGTGAGATCTTTTTAGGAATCATTTATGCATTTGTTGCATATGTGTTTAACCATGTGTTGATTAGCTTGGTGTTAATTTATGGTTCTATGTAAACGTGATTTTAAAAAGATCTGTGTATGTTATCCTATATAATATCTTCATCGCATGATTATTTATTCACTGTGAATACTTGTTTCCACATGGGTGTTCTTGACCTTAGCCCTTGTGAGTACATGGAACAGGTATGATATGTGTTTCAGGTTTGAAACACGAGGTAAGGCCTGTGATACCAATTTTACTGGATTACCTTAATTGTGCAAGTATAAACTTTGTGTTTTGTTTGCCTGCAGATTATTGGGCATCAAGGTGGAGATTGTAGGGTTTTGATACTCAATAATCCGAGCGATAATTTAAAATGGTTGTCGGATTATTTATTTACACCATGGATTTGGCTCGACTAAAAAATGACCTACATTTTCGGATGGTTCCGGTTGGGATTGGATGGTTCTTTGGTTAGTTGGACCATTTTGTAATTAATATGAAGTTGGATATTAGCCCATTAGTTTAGGTTAATTGGTAACCCACTTAGTGAATCTTTGGCCCAATTGTAGTGACCTAAACTAATCCTATATATATATACCATCTTCTTGCAGCCATTTTCTTGGATGTTGGGCGTGTGTGTGTTGAAAGAGGGAAGAGTTGAGAAAGAGAGATGGCCGAAAGATGAGGGGGCAGTCGGGTTGGTGGTTGTTGGAGTGAGTCCACCATTGTTTCTTTATCTTCTTCCCATTACCACCACCATCTCTTCTCCTTTGTGGGGTTTGAGAGAGCTCGAGGCAGTCCAAAATGTAATGGAAGTTTTGGGTCGAGTCAAGGTAAACCGATGATAGTTTGATTATTTTCTGAGCCCAGAATCAAGATTCATCGAGGGATTTCTGCGACACTAGTTGATTTCATTATCCTTGATATAGAAGAAATAAAAATAGTTCGATAATCTTGGGAATGCTATTTTTGACAATTGATGTATATGCATACATTTTGGAAAGGGTAAGTTCATATTAAGGGTGGAAAACAAATAATGAAGTTTTCAACCTCTATATTCCAACCAATTAACATACTTACCTCAAGGAATGCAAAAAGGATTGATCATGAAGAAAATGATGATTATGGAAATTATCGGTGCAAAAAGGAGTTGGTAGATTGGTTGGAGCAATTAAGGACTAATATGAAAAATTGAAAGTTTGGAATGATGGATTAGGAAACATCTACAAGGGCAGCCGTTGCAATGCTAAAAATTCACTTTTCAATCCAACATCAAAGTCGAGCTTC